ATATATATCCGTCTCGTTTTTCCCCTGAGTGTTGAGCGTCAACCAAATCTCCTAGACACTCCCCGCATCGCCACACGCCTCAGACCGTAATGATCTATGTGTGCCTCGGAACTGTTCACTCGCTCCTAAAGGACCCACACAACATCAATTCATCACCATGTAGTGCAGAGCCGGTCAGTCTATTTGCCAACATAGCGGCATGATCCAGAAAAAAATATCCAAAGGACACTAATTCTCCCAGACCTCTGAAGCCATACCTGCCACTCTGCACGGAGCATGCTTGTCTCCATCTTTCTCCACACGCTCTGTGAGTCAGTTGCAATTACAGCGTGTTTACGGCTGATTCTCAAGCTAGCGGAAGGCGACAGTGACTGCCTCCACCTCCATTCTCAAACTAGAAGTTGTTATATGCCAGGTTTTGCTGCACTAAGCGACCTCCATTCGCTTTGGCTATAAATAAACCCCATGTGCTTCATCTACCTCTTAACACTTAACCATCTGTATAGATAATCACATCACGTGGGCGGGATTTTGTCATGAATCATTTGTTGAACTTCTCATTCTCCATCACCAGCTGCCCAGTTCTTGTACTGTAGTTTGAAAACAGTGGAAAGGTGTCAACCACGAGCGGTCGGAACAAATTATCGCTGTAACAGGTTAGATCCAAAACTTCCACACACAAATATGTAAAGAAGAATGCAAATTACTTAAAGAATTTTACATAAAAACAAAAGATATAACAATCGAAACAAAAATAAGAACAAAAGCAACAGGAAATAATATTTAATTGACTAAGGGGATGTAAAGGCAGCCGACATCATGTTGACCAAATCACCCAATGAATGTTAGCTGGTCTATAACAATATGTGTCTAGAATAATTCACCTCGATGCCACAATGTCGTAAACAGTCATCATTATGTGCCATGCAAACTGGCTTCGGCGCTCATGCGTCTCCACAGATCATGATCACTGGTTGCCTGGAACAGCTCTCTTGATGATATCCCTCCATGCCATCGTTTCAGCCCATCCAGCATCATTTCTCTGCCTCTGTCCCCTTTTCCACCGACCACGATGTTCTCCAATGTCTCTCTTCTCATTATGTGGCCAAAGATCAGTGTTTGTCTCTTTTTCATTGTTGTATTTAGAGATCTACTTTCATTAGCCTCTTTCCATAAATCGTTGTTTGTTACTTTGGCCGTCGAAGGTATTCGTAACATTCGTCTGAGAAACCACATCTCTGTTACTTCCAAATTCTTCCTTATCTGTTCAGTGACATTCCAAGATTCGCTACCATACAGCAGAACAGGTTTTATTTAAAATTTTAGCACCCTCTTTCTGACATTAAATGAGAGCGATTTATTGCATAAGATATTTTTCACTTTCTGAAATGCAGCTTTCGCTTGACCAGAATAGGCTTTTAATCTCTGTCACACATTTTCCATCTGATGATATGATTGTTCCCAAATATTGAAATTTATTGACTTCGTAAACAGTTAACAGTATCATTTATTATTTGCACATTTACACTTATAAAATAAAATTTCAGAAAAAAAAAAATGCTCAAATGTAAATATTTATATACGCTCTTCAAATTTATAGTTATTTATTAAAACTTGGTTAGATGATGTCAAGTATAAATATAAAGTAACAATAACAAGTAAAGGTCCCCTTGTCACGTCTTTATGCGTATAGGCAGTACAGTGCTAGACCTAAATTGTTATAGACCAATTAGCACTTGGTGGGAGATGTGTTCAGCATCACGCCGTCCGCCTTTACTTCCCAGGACCGCATCTGATACCCACTCAAGGCTGGGTCGACCTGGAAATCAGGTCATTTAATAATAATAATTAAAAAAAAAAAAAAAGTCCGGCTCAGTCAAGAGGCGAACCCACGACCTTCCGATCCGCAGGTGGGCATCTAGTCGCCAGTGCCACGGCGACTCCCATAAGGTAACAATATAGGATTAAATGAATTGACACTGCAAGTTCGGATGGTACCCGGTGCGAAAAGTTTTGTGTCACCCACCCACACGCACGCACGCACGCACACACACAAACACATACACTCACTCACACACACATTTACACACACACACACTTTTTTATGCTAAAAACTAATATTTCTTTGCCTTTTGTATACCCCCCCCCCTCCCCCCCCCCCCCCCCCCCCCCCCCCCCGGTGATAACACCCAGTGTAACCCGCACCTCCGCACCACTCCTTCTATACGCCTCCGATTGCAACATATAATTTGGGTCATGGAGTGCAGTCATACATTTTGTGTGTGACCCCTAATGGCACAGGAATGGAGCAGTAATGGTGTGATCTGTCTGCATTGATGTTGCAACTTTCACTAATGACTATGACTAGCATTTCTTTCTGCTGGCCGATTTCTCGTAACTCGGCAATCCCTGGTTGAATTATACACACAGAATAACAGCTAACACTTACAGGTATAGAACACCCGTAAGCTATTGCTGCAGAAGAATTTTTAGAATACAGTGGACCAAGAAAAAAAAAAACTTCGACATCCCGGGGGACCTGAACATCAAGGAGAAATGGCTCATAAACAGCATCTTCTCCTGAAATCTGAGGTATTTTTGACACGTAGAGCGTCATGGTGGTCTGGAAAGAACGGTAATGAAAAGTACCGTTTCTGGAAAACGCGGCAGAGGCCGACTCTAGCGAAGATGGATTCAGGAATTGAAGATGCATGGTTATAAAGCACACAGTGATGGAGAACTGGCTAGAGAAAGAGAGACTTGCAGGCGTGCGGCGAAGAGAGAGCGACGTTATGTAAATGATATACTTATTGACTAATGGATTGAAGCTATTGACAAAATTTGCACGACAGAACCCAGTGACAGATATAAAAATAAACATCGGTCAGTAAGGAGAAATATAATGTACCAGCAGTAATGAGTGGTATAGCCTGCCAGACAGTAATAACAACTATAGCTTGCCAGTCTGTAAGATGATCACAACACTTGAGTCACAATGATACATGCATACATCATCAAAAACGGGTTGTGATAGATACATCACGCCAGTCAGTACCAAAAGATACATCTCATCAATGGTAGAGATGTCTACACTAATATCACGTAGCAATAGTTGAAATTCGCTACAACAGTAGTCATCATAAAAAAAGAATTGATGCTTTGTTAGTTCTCATGCATTCTGCAACCCCGCCCCCCCCCCCCCCCCCCCCCCCCCCCCCCCCCCCCTTTTTTTTTTTGTTCTTCTCCTATCCTGGCTGCTATAAAGTTTAACATTCTGCGATTACAAAATCTCAGTCTGGACGTCACAACAAAAGGGGAGACCCCAGATACCCCGTTCAGCTCCCAGCAAAGTTATAATTGCAGCACCCGTAACGGCTACACCAGCCTAGTGCAACTGGCAGGCCTGTGTGGGTAAAGGAGAACACACAGTTCCAGGTCTTTTCAATCCAGAAAGAAAGGTGCCGGTACTTACCAGACGGTGTCCAGACACAAACAAAGACCATGCAGGACATTTTTTTTACGTGCGCAACAGTGCACACGGGCCTCCGATCTCACACACGGGCCTCCGATCTCACACACGGGCCTCCGATCTCACACACGGGCCTCCGATCTCACACACGGGCCTCCGATCTCACACACGGGCCTCCGATCTCACACACGGGCCTCCGATCTCACACACGGGCCTCCGATCTCACACACGGGCCTCCGATCTCACACACGGGCCTCCGATCTCACACACGGGCCTCGATCTCACACACGGGCCTCCGATCTCACACACGGGCCTCCGATCTCACACACGGGCCTCCTCCAGAGGGAATTACTAGAAGTCTAAGTCCACGTGAAAAATTCCCAGCCCTTACCGGGGATTGACCCCGGCACCTCTAGCACTCGAGGAAGACAGCATGCTTCGAGACCACACAGCCATCATGGTGGTCTGGAAAGAACGGCGATGGAGTATCTATTATAGTTGTGCTGAAAAACTGACATTATGGCATGGAAATCATATGTATCAGAGTTGGCTAAAAGTACATGAGACAGAAGGCTGTGTACAGCCATGACTATCAATGCCACACGACATGGACTTTTAGGAGAAGAAGAAAAAATTGAATATGGAGGCGGTCACTGCAGCTTTCCGGTGGCTAGAGAACAAGATGCATACACGTGTCGTAATTGTAACAGACTCTGAAAGCATACTGAGAGAGGTGAAGACAGAGATGCTTCGAGCAGAATTGCAAGCTTCACCTAGAAGGTGATGTAGAGTGAGCATACTTTTGATCTTTTCTCCAGGCGATGCGGGCGTGGTCGGGAAAGAACAGAGAGACAGATTGGCTGGATCTGCACCACTTGGTGGTGAACTATTATATGACAATGCAGATGTGGTCAAGGTCCTTTGCGAATAAGTAACGAAATCAGAAAAGAAACTGAACTATTATGGCCGGGAGAGACTGATGCAGCTGGGTGCGACCAGAGTGTCTGGCCGGCAAATTACACTCAGGGGAAAGGCAAGACGGACAAATAACCAGAATACGACTGGTACCATTAGTATTGAAACTCTGCACTGGCTGGTGAAGGTGGGGACGGAGCACACGTCAGTAATATCAGGACAAGGAATATCAGTCGGTCATGTTAGGAACAGTCAGTAATGTTGTGAAAAGAACACCAATCACTAACGTGAGGAATAGAACATCAGTCAGCAATGTCAGGACACAGAACACCATTAGGTAATGTCGTGAATAGAACATCAGTCAGTAATGTCAGGAACAGAACATCAGTCAGTAATGTCGTGAATAGAACATCAGTCAGTAATGTCAGGAACAGAACATCAGTCAGTAATGTCGTGAACAGAACATCAGTCAGTAATGTCGTGAACAGAACATCAGTCAGTAATGTCAGGAACAGAACATCAGTCAGTAATGTCGTGAATAGAACATCAGTCAGTAATGTCAGGAACAGAACATCAGTCAGTAATGTCAGGAACAGAACATCAGTTAGTAACGAAGTCACATAGCTTCTTGAAGCTGCCTAGCACGAGCCTCCTCGTCCAGCAGCTGCCTTCGCTTCCTCATGAGCGGAGCGGACCAGTACCAGGCAGCCCATCGGGCAACATCTTCGGCCAACATCGGCTGTGAGTCCAGGTCCAAGGTCAGGGCCATGAGAAACTCCATGTTGGTGACTAGCCTGCGGCTGGCCAGTCGTGTGCTGGTCAAGGTTTCGTTGACGGCTTTTTCTATCGCCTGTACCGAGTAGCCCTCGCTGAACTGTGGATTGAGCCGGAAATCCAGTTAGCAACAACAACAGCTGCTGCAGCTACTACTACTATTTACGCGTGGCGCCATTTAAAAAATAATTGGTGGGGGTGGGGGGTGTAGAGAGAGGGAAATATAAAAAAGGGTGTGTGTGGGCGGTGTTCCCTCAGCCCCTTAACACATCTTTAGAGTAGAAAAGGGGGGGGGGGGCATAAAGAGCCTTAGACCTTTGAACACACATACACACGTTTTCTGCGAAAGGATATAACCCTAGCCATATTTCTCCGCCTTTTTCAACACGGGGGCAATTGCTTCTGCACTTTTGCACTGATACGAAAGGTAACTGTATAACCGCAGTATGTTGAATGTTGAATTATAAATCGACATCACAGCAATTGGGACACTCCCTTAAGCGCTCCGACCCCATCTTCAGCAGCAAAGCGAAGAGTTCCAATTCCGATGGCACCAGTAACTGTCTGATTGTATATTCGTCTCGCCCTTCCCCTGAGTGTTGAGCGTCTGCCAGATCCCCTGGTAACCCTCGCAACGCCGTTCTCCTTAGACCATAATGATGTATCTGCGCCTCCACACTGTTTACTCGCTCCCAAAGGGCCCTCACAATATCTAGCTTGTCAGACATCAATTCACTACCAAGTGATGCAGAGCCGGTCAGTCTATATACCTGTTTATTTCCCAACACACCGACATAACCTAAAGAAAATATCAAAATGACACTAACTCCACGGGACCTCTGAAGTGATGCTTGTCGCAAAACGCAGTAAACGCGCAGTATTTGATGGAAAAGCTCAGCGATAGATAAGCCAACAAGCGAAATATTTTCACTGACGTCTTTACTATTACTACCACCAGCCCCATCACCACCACGATAACCACCATCACCACCACCACATCCTCATCCTTCTTCATCTTTCTCCTCCTCCTCCTTCTTCTGCCTCTGTTGCTTCTTCTTCTTCTTCTTCTTCTTCTTCTTCTTCTTCTTCTTCTTCTTCTTCTTCTTCTTCTTCTTCTTCTTCTTCTTCTTTTTCTTCTTCTTCTTCTTCTTCTTCTTCTTCTTCTTCTTCTTCTTCTTCTTCTTCTTCTTCTTCTTCTTCTTCTTCTTCTTCTTCTTCTTCTTCTTCTTCTTCTTCTTCTTCTTCTTCTTCTTCCTCTCCTTTTTCTTCTTCTTCATCATCATCTTCTTCTTCTTCTTCTTCTTCTTCTTCTTCTTTTTCTTCTTCTTCTTCTTCTTCTTCTTCTTCTTCTTCTTCTTCTTCTTCTTCTTCTTCTTCTTCTTCTTCTTCTTCTTCTTCTTCTTCTTCTTCTTCTTCTTCTTCTTCTTCTTCTTCTTCTTCTTCTTCTTCTTTTTCTTCTTCTTTTTCTTCTTCTTCTTCGTCCTCTTCTTCTTCTTCCTTTTTCGTTCGCCTTAAATTGTGTCCATCAAGATGATGATGACCACTCTTTTTCATCAATTATGAGTACGAAGATGACTGATGAGGCCGATGCGGGCCCGCACAGTTCTTGGACAGTGAGGACAGGGAATGAGTGCTGTGCCAGGGAGGAGATCTCCTGCAGTCGCTTTTCTGTCCATCCTTTTCTTAATCAGTATTGCTGTTCTGTTTGTTTCACATGTAGTCGCGCCCTTGTGTAGAGTTAGTTGCACGCCATGCATTTCGGCCCTGAGAGGCAGCCTCCCAATTGGTGTCATTCATCCCAAATACTTTGAGTGAAGACTTCAGGGTGTCCTTAAAGCGTTTTTCTTGCCCGCCTTGGGAACGTTTCCCATTTTGCAGCACGCAATAGAAGTTTTTTTGGGGGGAAGGGGGGGGGGGGGGGGGGGGAGAGCTGTGATCTGGCATGCGTGCCACATGACCAGCCCAACTGATTTGATACTGCATCAGTAGAGTGTGGATCCTGGGCATGGCTGCTATCTCAAGGACTACGGTATCAGGTACTTTGTTTTGCCATCTGATCTGCATTAGTTTTATAAAGCGGACTGTTTGAAAGTGGTTTCACTTTCTGACCTGGCGCTGGTATACAGTCCATGTTTCGCATGCGTACAGCAGTGTAGTTAATACAACTGCTCTGTATACTTTGAGCTTTGTCTGCAGGGCTATGCCACTTCTGTTTCAAACATTTTTGTACAATCTGCCAAAGGTAACGCTAGCCCTAGAGATCCTTGCATTTACTTCGTCATCAATTGTGGCGCTCTGTGAAAGGGTGCTGCCTAGATAAGTAAATTTTCTGACAACATTTAATCTGTGGCCATTCACTGTGATAATGGGCTCGATGTATCTTTGCCCTGGTGCTGGCTGGTACATTGCTACAGTTCTATTTTTTTTGATAGTGAGCAAAGCCTGAAATAAGTTGTCTATGTCAGCAATTTTTGTCTTAAATTTCACTGTCGTTGTTAGTTCAATCAGGGGTCGTAGCGTTAGGTTCCATTGTTGTTCTTTCCAGTCAAAAGGTTTGCCTTAATGTGTCAAAGTCGGTGCTGTCCTGGACTACATATTCTTCGGTCTGAGGCAACTTTCTACATGTGCACATGGCTGATCCGTCTATCTTAAATTTCCTTACATGTGGTTGCGTTACCAGTTGTGCCCTGTTCTGAGGCTAAGGATCAAGACTAGGTTTCAAATTTTGTCGCAGATGGGAGATGGCGGTTGTACAGGAGCTCTTAGCTCTCACCAAATACTCCTAAGGCATGTGCATTTATCACCTCTGAAGGCAAAAGTCTAGCTCCTGGCCTTCTCGCTGGGGAACTCTTTAAACCAACAGGAGAAAAGGTGACGTTGAAAATCTGGCGCCGTAAAATGGGACGGCTCCTCGGGTATGATCACAGCCTGGGCTTGTTGCGTATCATTGACATGACTCTGCAGACTCAACTCCAGCATCGTTTTGCTCTTGTGCTTTTCATCATCATCCTCATTATGTGCCCTGTCAACTGGCGTAGGCGCCTATGCGTCTTCACAGATCACGATCCCTGGTTGCATGGAACAGCTCTCTTGATAATATTCCTCCATGCCATCGTTTCAGCCCATCCAGCATCATCTCTTGGTCTACCTCTACTCCCTTTCCGAATGATTTCTCCAGTTGTCACGATGTTCTCCAATGTCTCTCTCCTCATTGGGTAGATTTTATCATCAGTAGTTTTCCATTGCTCACTAAACGGTGGTTTCTCGAAAACACTGTCGAAAATAACGCAAGAAGGTCTGCCGCCAAATCGCCTACAGCTGGGATCGAACCCGACACTTCGGCATTACGAAGCGCGTTCGCAACGCCTAAGCCACAAACGCCGATCACAGTCTACCCTAGCAAAACAAGGTGCTGAAGTCGGAGGCAACCAGCCAGGCGGCGCACCACAGCACTCCTCATGCCACACACACATTATCATCATCATCCTTTCGTATGCCGCTAGATGTCACATAGGACTTGCATTGGACTCCTCCAATCCGCTCTATCGCACGCAATTCTCTCGATTTCTGACATGCAGTTCTGCCCAGCATTCTTAGCCTCTCGTCATAATGCTCTTCTTAATGTTCCCCTTGTTTATTTTTATATCCAGAAACCATGAGTTGTTAACCCTTTGGCTCGGAACTATAGATATCGCAACCCTTCGGCCTTGATTCCATGATAGATACCGTAAATCTGGGAGAAATGTGGCTTTTCTGCCTACCCCCGGGAGTGAACCTGGACCACAAGGAGCTCGTCACCCGGTCACGGCGCAGTCCAGTTCAGCCAACTACGCTAGAGAGCTGGGCAATGTTCCCCTTAAACGTCCTCTTTTTCTCGAACCGTCCCCCCCCACCCCCCCCCCCCCATTTCAGTGCTTGTATTGTAACTGTTTGCTCATTTCGTCTCAGAGTGTGCATTATATATATATCTCCCTATGTGTGTGTGTGTGTGTGTGTGTATATATATATATATTTGTATTAACGCAGTCGACACCGGTATTTGTCCAGTCATTTCTCTGATCTCCTCAGTCTTTTTGAATTCAACCCATTTTATGTTCCCGATTGTTCTCGGACATACACACGCCATGGAAAGATGTCTAAATCAGCGAAACATTATGGTGCTCTCCTTTGATAGGTAGATAGGTGTTTTGCTTAAAAACAGTCGCCACGTTCAACAAGCATCATGATATTATCCAATGTCGTTCTTTTCAGGACAAAGTTTTTTGTTATTTGAAACTTCACCCTGGCTTTTGCCAAGGGCCGCAATATAGGCAGGCCATAAACATGGCCAATTGTATGAACGCGGTTTCTGGGACCTCTCCACGGCGATCCTCATCCACATAGTGGCACTTTGTGTCATCAAGTGTTTATCGCTTGTGTGATGTCCTGGTGGGGTAGAAAGTCAGTCAGTCAGTCAGTCAGTCAACAAGCATCCCCGAAAGGGCTAGGGGGAGGGGGCTTTGGGTTATAATCGTGACTAGGTTATGTGCGTCATATAAAATAGCTCAGCACTGCCCGCCACCAATAGCCCTGGAAAGGACTCCTGCAGTGTTGACGCGATCAAAAGAGACAGGCCAAAAAATTGTCCTGACCGGGCGACGAAGTTGTCTACCGGCGTGCTAATGACGACCTGGTCGCCAATGGGTCGCCCTTTGATGAACGTCTTTACCTAAAATAAAAGGACTTTCACATATACGCACACAATACTCGTACACACAGATGAGCACACACAACACAAGAACGCACACAAGAGCAGGCATATATGAACACTGATACGTATGACAAAATGAGACAGAAGTATTTATCTATCAGTCTGATAGTGTGTCCTGGTTCGCCTATGGATTGTCTTTCTCTATTAGTCTGATAGTGTGTCCTGATTCACCTACAGTTTGTCTTTCTCTATTAGTCTGATAGTGTGTCCCGGTTCGACTACAGTTTGTCTTTCTCTGTCAGTCAGAGATTGTCCTGGTTCGCCTACAGTTTGTTTTTCTTTATCAGTCAGATAGTGTGTCCCGGTTCGCCTACAGTTTGTTTTTCTTTATCAGTCAGGTAGCGTGTCCCGGTTCGCCCACAGTTTGTCATTCTCTATCAGTCTGATAGCGTGTCCCGGTTAGCCTACAGTTTGTCTTTCTCTATCAGTCTGATAGTGTGTCTAGGTTCGCCTACAGTTTGTCTTTCCCTATCAGTCAGATATTGTGTCCCGGTTCGCGTACAGTTTGTCTGTCTCTATCAGTCAGATAGTGTGTCTCGGTTCACCTACAGTTTGTCTGTCTCTATCAGTCAGATAGTGTGTCTCGGTTGGCCTACAGTTTGTATTTCTCTATCAGTCAGATAGTGTGTCCCGGTTCGCCTACAGTTTGTCTTTCTCTATCAGTCTGATAGTGTGTCTCGGTTCGCCTACAGTTTGTCTTTCCCTATCAGTCAGATATTGTGTCCCGGTTCGCGTACAGTTTGTCTGTCTCTATCAGTCTGATAGTGTGTCTCGGTTCACCTACAGTTTGTCTGTCTCTATCAGTCTGATAGTGTGTCCGGGTTCGCCTGCAGTTTGTTTAATTTGAGGCCTCTGCCACCTATCACATTATATCACATATGAGGGTGCTTCATCTGAAAACGTCTAAAGTGTGACAGCATTTACAATAACCATGCAGCTGTCTTGTAACCAACCCGTTAATGTTGTTGCAAAGAACGTCAAGATTGTTAAGCATGTGCCATAACGGTATAGACAAACACGGTGATGTCATACTAACAGTCTAAAATTGACCACCCTTCTTTTTTACTTGCACCAAAGAGGAGCGGCGTTCTGTTATCCCTGTTTCTGATCACCGAAGCGGCGCAACCTATAGAAATTAATCCGCGAATGGAGATCTAGTACAGCAATGCACGCTTGTTAGCCTAGCAAGTTTATGAGTGGAGCAAGGAGTTTCAAACTGGCTACAATCGACTCTGGGGTTTCTACTCGGTGTGTCTGACACGGTCGCGTCACGGAGGTCACTCCATTTTGAGACTTCCTGTTCCGCTCATACACTTGTGGCGCCCTACCAGACATTTCAAACTTCCATACCTTGGCCAGGACTGAAGGACTCAGAGAAAGAGAAGGCTTGTGAGCAGGTTTTCTGGCCAACAGGGTTTTCCATACAAGCACTCGACTTCCGTACTCGGGTGGTGGGAAGTAGATGACGTTCTGTGGACGGAGAAGCAGTAGACGTCTCAATAAAGAAGAAGAAGAGGAGGAGGAGAAAAGAAGAAGAAGAAAAAGTTAAAGAAGAAGAAGGAGGAAAAAGAAAAGGAGAAAGAAGAAGAAGAAGAAGAAGAAGAAGAAGAAGAAGAAGAAGAAGAAGAAGAAGAAGAAGAATAAGAAAAAGAGGAAAAAGAAGAAGGAGGAGGAGAAGAGGAAGCAGAGGGGAGGAGGAGGTGAAAAAAAAATAAAAGAGCTGTTAAACAACAATAAACAAATTGTTGGAGGAGGTAAACAACTATATATATCTAAAAAAAAAAAAAAAAAAAAAAAAAAAAACAGGAAAAAAAAAAAGAATTTACAAGTATTTCACCTGTCTCTGTTGTTTAAAGACAATAAAGACAATGAACCATTCACAGTAACACAGTGTCAATGGGAGTTACGAAACAGTCTGCCCCCCCCCCCCCCCCCCCCCGCCCCCCCCCCCCCCCCCCCCAAAAAAAAATCATAGTAAATTCACACAAATTCACCCCAGATTGAGTTAAATAAGAAAAGTCTAATCAGAGACAGGTCACAATAATTCACTCCCTATTGCAGCTAACAACAAAATATGATTCCAACAATTCTTCTTATCGCTTTCACTGGCTATAAAATCCAGCGGAAAAACTATGTCTGTTCGTCCACTTATAGATTTTCGTCTTGTTTCAGAGCAAGGGTTTTGCGTGCAAATCTGGTTTACAGAGTCGGTTTATTCTTATGCAGACTGTTGATCCCCCACCTCTCAGGCAGCTGCTCTCCAACTTCGAAAGAAATCCCTCATAAGTCGACTCTTACGACATACTGGTTAGACGGCAGTGGGCCTTACTGGCACAGGCATTCTTCACTGGCTGCTAAAGATGGTGACAGAGCGCTTATGGTAATGTCCTAAGTGTTGGTGTTGTGGGTTTCAGCTCAGGTATCAGAAACAGCCAGCAGCCCGTCAATGCACCGACCATAACATACAATATCATGCAAGGATAAGAATCCACACATCAAACCAGAACAACCTAGAAAAACACATCAGACCAGTGATGACGTAAGTAGAGGGTGACCGCAGTCGAACTGACTGCAAGAAATGCTAAATACAACACAAAATGTGACTAGAAAGGAAATGGAAAAGACGCAGACAAACACAACTGAACGTTTCGACCAAAGTCTTTATAAACGGAGTGGACCATGTTACATTTTTTTTTTTTTTAAATTAGCTCTGTCGTCTTACCTGCTGAGTTTTCTAGTCACCGCTTGTGCTGTATTTAGAACTACATTGATAAAGACTTGGGTCGAAACGTTCGATTTTGTTTGTGTGTCTTTTCCATTTCCTCCGTTGAGCTTTCTAGTCAGATTTTTTGTTAATTTAGTATCTCAGAGACTAGCGTGTTCTTCAAAACAAATAAAAAATAGCACCATTGCTGCTAGAGAATAGATGTGTGGCTTTGATCAAGAGGACCTCGTTGATTGTCTTGTACCTCATCGTCTCCTATGTCGACTGGCACAAGTCATGGCCTTGTCACTTTCAAAGATAAAAAATCCAGAGGATTGACTTTACTGCATCGGGTTTTGTCTCATAAGAAAACTGGATCTCTCTCTCTCTCTCTCTCTCTCTCTCTCTCTCTCTCTCTCTCTCTCTCTCTCTCTCTCTGTGTGTGTGTGTGTGTGTGTCTCTCTCTATGTGAAGGTATATCTGTTTCTCTCTGCATCTCTGTCTGTTTTTCTCTGTGTATGTGTGTGTGTGTGTGTGTGTGTGTGTGTGTGTGTGTGTGTATCTCTTTGTGTATTTCTGTGTATGTGTAATCTCTCTGTATGTACACCCCTCCCCTTTCCACAGAGTGAATAGCCCCTACAAAGAGCGTAGCAAAAAGCAATAATTCCGAAGCTTCAAAAAAAGATCTAAACAGAAATTACATTCGTGAACCCAACAACGCAGTCAGTGAAACGAATCCACGAACTACAAAGGGTGAGGCAGCTGGCTTAGGCGTTTTGCCGCCAAACATCAATCCACTATGTAAGCTCCGCGACGACCTACCTTAAACATGTCGAACATGGCCCGGTTGTTGCAGGCGAACGGTTCCGTAGTCTCGCCCACGAGGAACATCCTGTCGCCTTTCTTCATCTTGTCCATCATCTTGGAGAAGACGCCGACCCAGCGCTGAGGACGGTCCTGGCCGGACGGCGGTCCTGGAGGAGGCCTGGTAAACAGGCTTTCACATTCGTCGATCATAAAAATTGTGGGTTCCATGGATTTCCCCACCTGCAACAAGATTACCACTACCGGTCAAGGTCAAGTGTAGTACACGTGAGACTAGGACTGAAAACAGTCATTACAGAGCAATATATGAGATGGTTGGACAACTGTCGAGCACACCCTGGTACCAGCTACCACGGAGAGCCACGCTAAAGAATTACAAATCGAGGGGAAGAAACACTTAAGATGGAATGTCAGCATTAGGAATAACGTTAAAGAAGTCAAGATCAACTTGTTCAATACTTTTGAAAGAGCTCACTGGAGATCGTTTACCTCAGTCTATAAAACTTCTATAAGTAACTTGACAAAGAGGAGGAAGAGGGGGAGAAGGAGGTGGTGGAGGAGAAGAAGAAGAAGAAAAATAGGGAGAAGGAGAAAAAGAAGAAGAAAAAGAAGAAGAAGAAGAAGAAGAAGAAGAAGAAGAAGAAGAAGAAGAAGAAGAAGAAGAAGAAGAAGAAGAAGAAGAAGAAGACCGTTATCATCGTCAGCCCCAGTCACCACCTCCAGAAACACCTGCCTGAGCATCATGACTAGCACCACCAATATCACCACCACCAGCAATCCCCCAGTGGCGTATAGGCCATCAACTGATCCCAACAGTTATATCCTTTGCTATTGTGTTTAGCTCACTTCATCCCCTCACCCCAATCTTCTCCACCCACATATTAATCCCAGCTAACTTCTTAATGGTTGTTATTGTCGTTGCTGTTGTTTGTGTGTCGTTCCATGAAGTCTTCACTCAAAGCATATGGGATGAATGACACCAATTGGGAGGCTGCCTCTCAAGACCGAAATGCATGGCGTGCAGTTCTACACAAGGGCGCGACTACATGTGAAGCAAACAGAACAGCAAGCAAAGGACGGACAGAAAAGCGACCGCAGGAGATCCTCCATGGCACAACGCTCATTCCCTGTCCTCACTGTCCAAGAACTTTTCGGGCCCGCATCGGCCTCATCAGTCATCTTCGTACTCATACTTGAAGATGTTGTCATGATGGACAACAAACACACACACATTGTGTGTCGTTATTCATTTAACCCTATGGGTTCCAGTAGGATGACATTCTAGTTGTATTATCAGTTTTTTTTCCAGTGTGTAAGAGCTA